TATAAGGAGCCTCAGTTCTAGGCTTTGCAGAAGGTGAGACCCTACTGTGTTGGATCCAATGATGATATTTTTTTCTTGTCCCACATTGAAGGGATCTGTGATCATCATAATGTTGTCCTATGAAAACCCCCTTAGTTGGCTCCTTTTGTCTTTAAGATTTATTTATTTTTATACAAGAGCTGGGGTACAGGCCAGAGGCGTGGGAGGGTAAGAGGATTCACTGGAGACAGAGTGGGGAGCAGAACGGGCAGATGACAGAAACACACACTGCTGAGGGGAACAGCGAGCGCAACAGGAGAGGTCTGTGGCACCGTGTGGGATTCTCACCGGCCGGGATCGAACCTGCTCTGTCGAGGCTGCGGACAGCTTCACAGCACAGCACTCAACCCGCTGCGCCACCGGGGAGGCCCTTCTTTTGTCTTTAAATGGCATTTCGGATTAGCTGTGTCTGAGATGAGTCAATACCCCTGGAAAATAAAATACTACACGTGTGGGGCTTGGTACTTATCTCCATAAACACATTATACACTGCTGCAGGGCATACTTGACTCTCCACCTTCTTTTTCTCTGACTAATTTTTAAGAACAAAACTTGCCCGAACCTCAGACATTTGAGGTTGAGTCCCAGAGGTAATTATTTTCCCACTCATCCTCCGTGATGTAGAACTTGGGCACGTAGCTAGCCTCTCCAAGTTTCAGTTTCCTGATACTTAACACATTGTGTCCCTGCACGGTGGCTGTCATCTTCTGCCTCATCCATTCCTGGGCTGCTAGCATCACTTCTTAGGGTCTCACCTTTGAAGGCGCAAATCAGTCATGACTAAGCTGTTTTTTTCCCTGTGTCTTCCTCTCAACTTTTCCAGCTTTGCTAAAGTCATGCATGAGACCGTGAAGGACCTGGCTCCAAAGTGTGACGTGTCCTTCCTGGAGTCAGAGGACGGCAGCGGGAAGGGGGCTGCTCTCATCACTGCTGTGGCCTGCCGCATCCGTGAGGCTGGACAGCGATAGAGTTCCAGAAATTGGAAGAGACTTCCTTTGGTTCCCCTCTTCCCGCTCCAAATTATAAGATGCCATCCCCTTGTGTCAGAGACAGACCCCTTGACTTTTTCTTAGCAGAGAGGACCTGGTAGAACTGGGCTTCGTCTCTGTGTACACTCACAGTAGAGTTCAGTGCCCAAGGTTTGGCGCTTCTGATTTTAATGCAATTTGAAGTAAGGATTTGTTCACACCACAACCATTCCCACTGGTTCTCTTAAAACATAAAATGTAACCCTAGTAATCTTCTTGCCAAATTCCTATGTATTCCTGTATAAGCATACAGGATGGGGATACTAATGAAAAAGGTACGGTTGCTTTACCTTGGAGCCCAAAATGACATTTCTAGGTGGAGAACATCCCCTATCTCAATCTCGAAGGTTGCTTTTTCTCCTATCAGGAGATCTAGGAGGTCTCCACTAATTTGAGCCTGATTCTCCCACAGGCAGAACTTGGGGGGAAGAGGGGTGGCAGGTTATGGCAACCACTCTTCAGCCTCATCGTCAAGGATTTGCCCAGCAGGTTCCAGCAGCTGCTGTTCTTGGAATCAAAGCAACCTGAGTCTAAGCAAGCAAGCCAAAGCCAACAGCTGATCCATCCTGCCAGTGGGCTTATTGTTGAATCTCCTTGTGGGTTCATGAATCATCCATGGGCAGTGGACTTTTGGGGAAGGGGGGACTTTCTGGTTTGTTTTTAAATTTTTCCTGCAGAAGTGGAAACACTGTATTTTCATTTTAATTTATGTTTGACGTTTATTTAGTTCATGAAGTACATCAGCTTCTTCATCTTGACACTGTATGTAAGAATAGTTGTACGTAATATATTTATATGTCAGTTTGTTATGTGTACAGATACACAGGGTCTCCTCAGACTCAGCCTCATCCATAGATGTAGATCTGTAGAGTTAAAGGGTGGAAGGTGGAGATGCTGACTGGTTACTAGAAATACCTCATTCGCCTTTGGGAAGAGAAGGGAAGCCTCTTCAGGGTGAGTGATGAGAGAGCAGCTCCTTCCTGGCTCCTCCTGTCCCTGCAGACTCAGAAGGCGAAAGACATGGGGAAGTCAGGGACAGAATGGAGGAGGCTGGGCCAATGGATTGAAGAAACCACAGCAACTGGCTGCTCTGTCTAAAGACTTTCCTGGGGCAATATTATATGGGATGTTAACCAAAGGAAACGGGAATCATTTCAAATAGACTCATTGTTTAGAAATCTTCCTTTTTAGGGCGGTCAGTAGTTTTTTAAAGCTCTCTAATAAGATAAAGGAAGCCACCAAAAACATTTTTTTTAAAAAAATTGTGTGTAACTGTCGACAGCAAACCAAAACAAGACAATGAAACAATCAAACAGAACCTCAGGGACAATACTTTCGGTGGATCTGTGCCCTCCCAGCAAATTTTACTGTGAGTTTGTTTTGTAAATGTTTTAGGAGAACAGTTTTTCAAGGACTTCCCTGGGCTGAACAGTTTTTATATGCAGTATTTATTTCAAATTGCTGGGGGTAGGGGTGGGAATGGCATATGGAAAAATTTCCATGCTCTACTTTGTAAGAGTGTGGTTAATTCTAAATATGAAAGCCCACTTCTGCACTAAAATCTGCACAGCCACGTACATTAAATCTGAAAACTACTCGGTAAAGTGCTAATGGCCTTGTAACACTATTGACTTGGGATACAAGGATCAAAACAGAAAGATGAAAAGACACAAGTCAATAGCACCCCCACCTTTTTTTTGCACATTTGTCAAATCTGTACTGAGAACTATGTCAGGTTTGTGTATCACTACAGGATGGCCAAGAAATAGAGATGGGTTTTAACTTTTAAAGTTGAAAATTAGGCACCATCTATGAAATTGCATATTTTTTAAAAAAAGAGTTGTGTATGGCTATTAAAGATGTTTTGTTGGTTTCTAAAAAGGAATACAGACTGTACAGTGCATTTTGAATGTTTGTGTTCCCACAATTAGGTGACAATTCCTTGCTGATGCTGCTTTGCCTGATGTAAATACAATGAATCTTAATCTTTGACTGGGATGTGTTGGATAGCGGATCATCTCAAATTCTTGAGCACTCAGTCTAGTGAAGATGTGGAAGATACCTAAGCTAGTAGAATTAACTATGTGATGTTAAATATTAATAAATTTTAACATTTTTCAAAATATTTAATGTGTGGTTCATGAGCATTTTCAAGAGTGGAGTCATCTTTTGGGGCATTAATGCTTCTTGGCCAATCTGAATAATTGATGGGTTCCTTGATGGTGACTGTATGTGTTTGACAGGCATGTGGCCAAGACTTGACCTCAATCTCAGATACTTCCCTTCCCCAAAACTCAGTCCCAAGGGAACTGGAAGATGACTTTTATAATACTAGGCCATTTTTGAATCTCTAGATTTCAAGCACCACTGAGGAGCAACTACTGGCCCAGCTGTCTGTTATTTAAACAGTTTGAGCAGAACCTTCAGGAGAAACTTGGCTGGTGCCTGTATGCACATATGTGATTCACATTCAGAATATACAGCCCTTGATTATATGCATATCTAAAAAGCACTCGCTACTGACCTTTCCCTATAAATCTCTCCCTTCTCTCCCTAATAAGTAAAATGCAAACTTGGGAAATAAGTTTCTTATGTTCCTAGTTGATAACCAATAACACTGACATGGCTTTGCTTAATGTCACTGAGGCTAGGAAGTCAACTAAGGCCAAAAAGACACCAGAGAAGGCCAAAACACAAGATTCACCTTCACTGGTGAAGGAAAAGAAATTAAAATTAGACCCTAGTTTTCTACAGTATGGCCCACTGGCTGGAACCTACAGGATCTGGCAAAGGAGCCAGGCAAGTGTACTTCTGATGCAGAGCAGAGCAGGTGGGGCCTGGAGCTCAGCACTAAGGAACTGGTATGTACCCAACAAAACCATGACAGTGTTAGAGATGAATATTTACTATCACAGTAAGTGTTGACAAGTGTGTTGCTTCATGCCAAAAGTTTCTTACAGAATAGTCTGATGACTGAATTTGTTGAGAAATTATTATATGACATTCAAGGTATAATGTATTACCAGAATGTCTCCTCTGCCTCACTGGATTCTTAGAGGCCTCAGACCCATTCCTCAACAGCTCCTCAGATAACCCCCTTGCCCTCCTCTGGTGGCACCCTGAGTGGAGGCACCAGGCCAGGATTTGGAGCAGAAGGCTGTGTGGTTGGCATTCCAGCCCTCGGCCAGGATGCTGCTCCCACTGTTAGGTATCACTAGCCCTCCCTAATTTCTACCGAGTCATCTGACTGCTTGACAAACAAATAACCCCCCCACCAAACTAACACAGTTCAAATGGACATGTCTTTATCTCTTGTTTAGCCAAATTGCACTGGCAGCTGACATTCCCAGTTTAGCTCCCGCTAAATGAGAGGGGCAGTGATTCCAAATACATCACCAGTCAATTTGTGGATGAACTGCTATCTGATATTGCCCAGTCGATCAGATCCGCCCTGCTGGACATGACATCCCTCACGTCGAAACTGGTAGATGTCAGCAGCCTGAAATACCTGGTAGAAGAACTTGACCAAAATAATGCCCCCAGGGCTCTTGAGCTGAGTCTGGCCATTGAGTTGTTCCAGCAGGGTGTCCATGAGAAGCGGCTCCCGAGGCCGGGTTGTCCAGCATCTTCAAGCCGTGCAGGTCCTCCCATCAGTGAAGCTGCGCTGTAGAACACCGGGCTGGGGTGGGGAAAGCCCGGGGCCCTCGGGCCAGGGTGTGCGCTGCTCCTCACCCGCCCTGTGTCTGGCTCCTGCTCATGGCCCCGCCTCCCGTGGAGCCTCCCGCCAGCGTGACACCGTCGTGGTCCTCTCCCTGGTAGTGAAACAGGCCCAGCAATGCCAGAAACCCCACATGAAGCGAGTCAGGGGCAGTACGTGGTTGGAGGAACAACGTTGCCCACAGTGCCACAGTCAGAGAGCTCTGGGGACTCTACATACCCCTCTGGGGGCAGAACTCCTCGAACACACCCCCAGCTTCTGCACCACCGACTACTTCTGAACGCCTCCTTGTCCCAGGGACGACACTCCCGAGCAGCCTGAGGTACCAAGCCCGCGGCCCCCGCGAAAAGCGCTGCAACATGGGCGCCGCCATCTTGCGGGCGGCTCGAGGCGAACCTCGGTGCTTTGGACCTTCCCACCCCTGAGCCCTCCGACACTGTCTTCTGTCAATTCTAGTTTTACCTCAGGAGGTGAATGTAAAACCCTTTGGGAGTCCATCTTCCTATATAATATCAAGTAAGGTCCAGTTTTCTTTTTTCATTTATGTCGTTAGTCTTTTGTCACAGCTTTTCTGACCTCTAAGTTTGCAAGAGTCTCCTTTCCGCCCGTTGTTCTCGTTTGTTTGTTTTTGGACCAGTAACAGGCTGTTCCATCACCGTCTCATTCCAAAGTGCTTCAGTATCTAGTGGGGCAAGTCTCCCCCCTGCCCACACGCCTTTTTTGCCTAAATTGTGCCATTCGTGGCCCTTTATTCTTCTGAGTGAATTTTAGAATATGTTTATTGAATCTGAAAAAAATCACCTTAAATTTTGAGTAGAGTTGCAACAAATATTCCGATTTTAGGAACAGAACCGACATTTTGTGTATTCCCAGAGCACCAATGTTCGTGTATTCAGATAATATTTGAGGTGTTTCCTCGAAATTTTAAAGTTTTCTCTATGGAGGTTTTGTGAATTCTTCATTAAGTTAATCCTCAGATGGTTTATACTTGTGGTCTCTGATTTGTATTATATTTTTCTGGTTGGCTACTGCAGGTGGAAAGCAGGGTATTTCTCCCTTGCCCTCTACTGGTTTGGGGCAGGGGAAGCTGGAACTGGGGGCTCGCCCAGGCGCAGGGGTTTAGGATCCCTGGCTTACACCGGTCAGATACCGGTTGTGACAAAATGTCTTCAGAAGTTGCCATTTGTAACCTGGGGATAGAATTGCCACATGGAATACCGATGCCCAGTATTTTGTCCCAAATATTGCATGGGGCATTTTTTACTAAATTATTAAGAGGTAAATGAGTTTTCTCCTTTAGTTTTTACTGTGATGAATAATGTCAGTGCATTTTCTGGTAAATCTTCCTTTAGCTCTTGGACAAATTATATCTGTGTATTGTTGGATTCATTCAGCTGGTATTTTATTTTTTTGCATTTTCATTCCTAAGTGAAATGAACCTTTTTTTCCCCTCTTTGTATAATTTAGATTAAGTTTTGAATCAGGATTTCATTAACTTCACAAAAAAAGATTGGGCAGTTGTCTCTCTTTTTTTCTGAGAAAAAATTGTAGTAAGATTATCTGTCTTATCCAAGGTGGGTAGAACACACACATATGTAAAGCTTTCTGGGCCTGCTGTTTTCAAGAGGGATTACCATTTCAATTCCTTTGATGCTTATTGGTCTAGTCAAGTATTCTATACCCTGACATACGTATTCCCTAGAAATTTATCAAGAATGTCCAAATTTTCACATTGTTTAGTGTCCATAATATGTTTAAAACATTAAATCTTGAAATCCTCAATACATACAAAAGTAGAGGAGAGAGATTAGTGAATCTTCTGTGCTCTGATATTTAGCTAGTTTAGTTTTTACCCCATGCTGTTTTATATTTTTTTAAAGCAAACTTCATACATTGCCTATGTTCACAAGACAAGGTTTGTCTTTAAACGTATCTGCAATGCCATCACCTCCTCCCAAATACTAATAATTGCTCAAGAAATCCCCTAGTCACTGTTTAAACTTCCATTGTTTCATAAAATAATTTAAAAAATTTGAATCCAAACATTACACTGGGGTAACCTGTCTTCAATCTCTCATAATCTTTCGCTCCACTCCAACTGTTTTGCTCTCTTTTGAAGAAATCCTGTCTAGTTCCCCGGGACTACATTTGTGGTTTGACATCTTCCAGTCCTCTGCATTCCTATAAATTGGTAGTTTAATCTCAACTCTTGACCATATGTAGGTTTGATAATTTAGCAGGACAACTTCAAAAAGGCTGTTGGCTGTTGTTCCTGCGTTATTCTTTCTTCTTTGTTGTGTCAGTAATTGTCCCCTCTCCTTTCATTATGTTTGTATATTTTAAGGTAAAATTTCTTTCTCACTCCTTTTCTTGATCAGTTTTGCCAGAATTTTATTTCTTTAATCTTTTTAGAGAAATGGCTTTTGGCCTTGTCATTTTTTTCTCCTTTTCCCTTAAAGTGACTTTTTGCACTGTTTTTTTTTTTCCCCCTTCTCATTTCTTGAACTTGCTCTTTTGTTCTGGTTCCAACTTTTTTTTTTTTATTAAGATTTATTGTATTTATGCATCCAAAAACTGGGGTATAGTTTCTTATTTAGTTTCTAATAATATGGTTTTTAGACTATCTCTTTGTTTTGATTTCTATTTTTTTTTGGCATTATGGAAACATGATCTGTTTGATACTGAATCTTTGGAATTTTATCAAGACATCTATGCTGCCTAGGATACAGACACTGCTGTAGCCCTAAAGGCTATGTGTTCTCTGGTGTTGGATATAGAATTAGATGGAGAGAGGGTGAAGAGGTGAGAGTCAAGTACAGAGGCAGAGTGACTGTGGGTGTATTATAAGCATTAACTGAAGTTATTTTTAATATTCCTCAGGTGACCTTTTATTTTCTTCTTTGTGTACAGCAGTTACTTTTGCTTATCTGTGTTTCCAGACATTCTTGAAATTGATGTCAAAGATTTCACATGGTGCGCATTGCCTGGTGGGTAAGAACACTGGTATGGAGAAAGAATGATTGCCATGTAGATGGCGTGGGTGACTCACCCACCCTTCCTGGCCTGCCATCCTTCTTTCTAAAGTAAGGGGATTGATTGCAGTGTCTGCCCAGCTTGAGCATTTATATTCTGTTATTTATAAGCTCCATCTGTGACTGAAAATCTTGGGATCATGGGCTGTGGTCCAGGCTCCGGTGCCAGCAAGGCAGGAGACCTCACATGGAGGGAGTGTGTAATTCTGCTCTCCCCAGAGAGGGGTAGGGCCTTCCTCACTGCACTGTCAGACCATGTGGGCTTTCTCCTTCCTACATTTAGCAATAGCACTTCTTTCTCCCACCTGCTTTCTGTTCTCCAAGCTGTAAACCCATTTTTAGGGAAAGCAGACTTGAAAGATGCGTAGAGCAGTGAAATTAACAGGAGTCAGTGCCCTTGGCAATGCCAGGACTTCTGGCCCCCTGAGAGATAAACTGAGCCCCTCAGGCAAAGGGACAGTGTGCAATTCCCTTTTATTAAGTGTTTTCTGTCTTAATAAGCCAGATCCATTTGTAGCCTCCTGCTGACCCCGGGAAATGGGAGGGTGTACCAGTGGGCCTCTGAAGTTTCCATTTTCCCTTTTCTCAGTGTTGCCAGGAATGCCCTCAGCTTGTGATGCCAGAATCACCCCAGGGTATCAGCTTAGTTTCTGTTCCAGGGGGACCAAGCCAACATTTCTTTGCAACTTTCCGTACATTTCTGAACCCTAGATGTTGCCCTGTGGTCATTTTCCCATGCTCCATAGAGACAAAATAATGGGAAAATGGCATTTATGCATGTATATTATTCATTTATATGCATAATGCATGAAGTGATTATGAATTTGCTTCATAACACTAGGATGCAAGAAATGTCAAAGCATTGAAACCAAACCAAACCAACTCTGAGTCCTCCCATACTTAGAGGATGAAGTGTTCAATATCAGCTATTATTGGGGTGTGGCTCTTCTTTCCAGGATGGAGCAGCACTCCTGAGGGTGACACAGTCCAGAGCCACCTGCGAGAGTGCCTCCAGTCTTGAGTGTTCGCATCCAAAACTCTTTGTGTCTCTGACTCATCTTAAAGGCTGGAGGCTGCTCCAACCTTAGACATTGAATTAGTGTTTTTCCTTTAAATTCCCTCAAGCAGATTAGTTTAAAATCATGTGTGTTTCCTTTGTATCTTGTGCTATAGACATTATTTCTGGGAGGATTGGAAGGGTAAAGGTATAGGGAAAAGTTGCTAAGTAAGGCTTAAACACCCAGCAGATGGACAGGGAAGCAGGGGCGAGGGTGGTGATATGTATGGACAATAGGCAGATGACTTGTCCAGCATGTGTGTCCAAGGCATTGTCCATTCCATGCTTAGGATACCATCACCCCTAGTACCTCTAGATCTCCATTCTGCATTGGTGCCTGCAGAGGTCTACAAGTGAAGAGAGTTTATTGTCGTAAAAAGATGGCCGGACTTCCCAAGGCAGGTGGCCCACACTGCACTGTTTAAGAGAGAAGCCACAGATAATTATTGTAAATCAATTATTTAATAAGTTAATAACCAGGTTTGTTGTAAATCAGTGATTTTAATTTCCCACCTTAATGCTGTGGTGTGTGGGGAGCGCCGTCTGGCTGTGAAGACGGCACTGTGTGCATGCAGCCTGGGCCTCTCCCTGGGATGCTCCCAGCAGCCTCACTGAGCTTCCACTGGCATCCAGCTGGATGCAGATGTCTGGGTATTCTTGCTGTCTTGTGGTTATAGAAACTCAGGAGTGCTGATTTCCTCCTGCTCACACTATTTTTTTTCATTTTAATATCAGTTCCTTCAGCTCTCTGGAATAATTTCTTGCTTGTAGTGCAGTACTTGTTTAAAAGTTGAAGGAAGAATACTTGTGTAGACTAGAAGGGGCATTTTAATCAGAACATTTGGGATGGGGAGAGCTTTATGATGTGGCCTATTGGCAGCTCTATGAGATGACTTCACCAGGAAGAGTGAGGTGAGGGGTCAACCCCACCTCAGGCTACATGAGAGGCCTTAGGCCTCTCACTGCACATGTCCACCCCATACAGGCGAGCCAAATCTTCTGCCCATTATTCTTTTGCCCATTATGTTCAGCATCTGTCCTGCTTAGGGTCAGAGTGAAAATCAGCTCGCATGGCACCCCTGATTTCTTCAGTGGGTGGTACAAACATGTCTTCCCTGGACCCCTTCCCTCTCCTATGGCCACACATGCTCAGCTTGCTCTACTGTCTTTCCCTGAACTAATCCTTTACTCCTTGCTCCTCTCAGCCTGTGCCCACTGGAATTCCACATCCCAAATGTCCAACCTCATCTACACATGGTCATTCCTCTCCCTTGCCATAGTCTACTTAGTCATTCAACAAATATTATTTGCACAATTTCTGGGACTATTGTTTTTGATATTGGGGATGTAGTAGTGACCAAAACAAATAAATTCCTGCCCTATATCCTTGTAGTGAGAGAGTGAGCACCTAAGCTGTATTATGTCAC